TGGCCCCTGCGGCCCTCAGAGGGCTGGGGGTGGCCTTCCCCCGCCGCCCTCCCGCTCCGTCCTGAGCCTGCGGGTGCCCGACAGGCCACAGGTGCCGCAGCATGAGGAACTCGCAAGCTTGACCCGTCCTTCAGAGCAGTTAACCGGAAGGTTAACCTGGTGACTGCACCGTCCATACTTTTAAAACCCGCTTGCTGCTTTCCAAGCAGACACCCCCAGTGTCGCCACTGCCTCAGCCCAGGCAGATGAGCCTCGGGCTAGTGGATGGTGACCAGACTTCAGCGGGAAGTGAATGGCCAAGGGCGCTGGAGGGTTCCAGTCGTACAGCGGTTCAGTCAAGCAGCTCTGGCCAGAAAAGTCCTAGGGCTCCAGCCTTCTTCTGATCTCAGCAACAAGTTTTTCTCTTGGGATATCAACCTACAAAGCAAACGGAGAGGAGGAGGTTGCAGCACTGGAACCCCGAGCAGAGCACGGTTTGACCTGGCCCTAAGGACTTGCTGTGGATACCAACGCAGTTTGTGACTGCTTTTCTGGACCCAACAGATCTGTGCTACAGCTCCCCAAAGGAACAACGTCACCGAGGGAAAACCCAGAGCCTTTCCTCTTGGGATATCAACCTACAAAGCAAACGGAGAGGAGGAGGTTGCAGCACTGGAACCCCGAGCAGAGCACGGTTTGACCTGGCCCTAAGGACTTGCTGTGGATACCAACGCAGTTTGTGACTGCTTTTCTGGACCCAACAGATCTGTGCTACAGCTCCCCAAAGGAACAACGTCACTGAGGGAAAACCCAGAGCCTTTGAAGTAATCTCTAGATTTTGGAAGCACTTTTGAAATCTGGTGTAAAAAGGCATTCTCACCTCCTCTCTTGTTGCGACATCTCGCAGCTTGACGACTCCATCTGTCAGCTCTTGCTCTCCTACAATGGCAGCAAGGGGGATCCCCGTGTCCTCGCAATACTGCAGCTGCTTCAGCAGTTTAGGATCCTTCTTGTACAGCATCTCTGCCTAGGAGGGAGTGGAAAAGGTGAATCATTAACATGAAATTTGCTCTGATGGATCTTGGAGCAAAACAGCCAGCACCAAAACCCCACAGAAAACTCTGCCTCATTATCCCTGTAGCAAGCGGTTGCCTTTAGTGCTCTCAGCTGTTCTCCTTCTCTGCCTGCTAGATCTCAGACGGGCCCAGATCTTGAAGGGACACACAACTAATGGAGCTGGTCTTGCTGTGCTACAGCTCCCTTCAGGCTCTCCCTCCCTCACCCACACCAGTGCCAAGCCCAAGTCCTTATGTTACCTTGATCCCTGCGTCCCACAGCTCGGAGATGAGCTTCAGTCTCGCAGCGAGAAAGTGTTTCTGAGGTGTAGCCACCAGCACTTGTGTCTCAGTCGTTCGAACTTTCTCCCCAGAAGCCTGCAGGGACAGACACACTTGTGGGAGTGACTGGCTCTGAGGGAATCTGCAGCTCACAACAGAAGCTCATCTCACCTTGTCTTCAGACCTTAACTTAGCTCCCCAAAACAAGTATACTTAAAAGCTAACCGTCACCATTCAGTGAATGTTACTGAGCAAGGCTAACCTTCCAGAAGCAAAAAGAGTGCACAGATAAGACAACCTGGGCACATTTAATGAGTCCCCCAGAGAATCTGTATCATGACACATTACTTAATTGTGTGCTGCTGTTCCTGTGGGACTTTGGCCTTACTACCTCCCTCCCGGCTAGGACCTGGACAGCTTTCCAATTTTGGAAAACTGGAAAAAATTTGTACCTTTAATTCTTCAGGTACAAACATATTGCCTCAGCCTCACTTGCTATGAATCACAAGCTCAGAACTAAAGGCAGAGTGATGAATTTCCTCACAGGCTTTCGTAGGGTGCTCATTAGAGAGTGAGTGCTACAGCTGTTACCAAATTCATCACTTCACAATCCCCAAGACAGAAAACTTCACAGACAAGAGCAAAGTGACCGGGGCACAAAGTTCAGAGCCAGGACCAGAGCTCAGGGCCCGTCTCTAATGCTTCCTTGGCGTCTGCTACGAAACGCTGCCCTCAGCTGCCCAGGCCTGCATCCTGATGGGCTGCAGAAAAGGGCTCTGTCTTCTGTGCATGGACATTCAGGCATGAGAGGAGCCACCCTCTCCCCCAAAATTCTTTCCCCTCTAACACTGTGGAGTTGTAGAGCTCTGTAATAAACGACAGTTGGCTTCCTAGAGCCCTCCCCCATGCACCGCCTGCAGCACCTACCTCCACTCTCTGCTCTAGGATGGAGAAGATCCGCTCGATCCCAATGCTGACCCCCACGCAGGGCACCTTCCGTCCCTTGGGATCAAACATCCCCACCAGCCCGTCGTAGCGACCGCCTCCAGCCACGCTCCCAACGCTGACTGACTCCTCCACATGGTCGTTCTCCTGCTGCAGCAGGACAGCCTCAAAGATCACCCCCGTGTAATAGTCCAGACCCCGCGCCAGGCTCAGGTCAAAAGAGATCTGTAGGACACAAGGGAAGCCCCGTCACTGGGCGCGCTCGGGGGGCCCAGGCTGCCCAGCCACCAGGGCAGCACCCCCTCCTGCCTCTGCACCTCCTCACCTTCCCTGCGATGCCAAACAGGGTCAGGTACTCAAACAGCAGCTTCATGTCCCCCAGCCCCTCCTTGGCCAGCTTGTGCTGGGACAACTTTGGGTCCTGGAGAAGCCGCTCGATCAGGTCCAGGCCACCTGTGGGAACGAGCCATGCCTCAGGTCTGCCAGTGCAGCAGCACCCGCAACGATGGGCCCGGCCAGCCGTCTATGTGCCTTGCACCCCTCCATCGCTGGCCCTGCCTGCCTGGCCTGGAAGAACAGGGCCGAGGGCTCGACCCCACCGTGCTCACCGTGAAGCTGGACATACTCCCCGATGTGATCTGCAGCCTCGGGAGAGAGCCCCTTCTCTCCTACCATCTCGCTCCTCACTTCTTCCCATGGCATCTGCAAGGGGAGAGAAGAACATCTGTTGCTGCAGGACCTTCTCATCACTCACTGTCTCCACCAGCCGACGTATTCACAACATGTGTGGGAAGACAGCAGTCAGCAATCTCATGAATGATCCGCGTCTCTCTCACAGGAATTCTTAACAGAAACCACTGGAAACACCAGGCTTTATTCTTAACCATGACCAAGAGCTCCCCAAATCCTTTACAAACACCAACGGCTTGGCTGCTGTGAACCTCTTTACGATGAGAACAGCCACGACACTGCCCAGCCTGAGGCATCCACCCCTGAGACTGGAAGCGATCTCCCCATGAGCACAATGCTCACCTTGTCCAGCTTGTCCACGGTAGAGCACGTAGTTATGAACTTGCTCTCTGGGATGCCGCAGACAGCAAACACACCATTCAAGATCCGTCGATCATTGACCTGGGGGTGGGAGAGGCACACTTAGCTCAGGGGAGATTCCCTCGCCGCCATTTCTTCTTGCCCCAGAGGTGCAGGAAGCTGCAGCTGTTGGCGTTTCCTCGTGCCTTTTCACCGGCGCCTCAATCCCACGGGAAGGGAACGCGCAGAGGTATGAAAACCACTCGGCTCTGATCTCACCTTAATGAGAAAGTCCCCGAGCTGCAGGTCACTCAGGATCTCGTGCACGATCTTCAGGCACTCGGCATCGGGAATCATCGGGTCGAACTGCCCGGCGATGTCAAAATCCTGGGGGCAGAAGAAGCGGCAGAGGCTCCTGGCACAGCTGAGGTGCTTCGGCTCCGCCAGGCGCGCCACACAGCCCCGCAGCAGCTGAAGGCAATCCGGCCGGTAAAACCCACGCCAGTCCCCTGCTCCCTCCTGCCCCTCGTGGTCCCGGCCCCTCGCGCAGCGGCTGCCACAACACTCACGCACTGGTAGAACTCCCTGTAGCGGCCCCTGGTCGTGGCCGGGTTGTCCCGCCTGTAGACCTTAGCGACGTGGTAGCGCTTCATGTTGGCGATCTTGTTCATCGCCAAATAGCGAGCGAAGGGCACCTGGGGGGCCGAGGAGTTAAGGACAGGAACGTGGAGATCCCCTGAGCTGCAGAAAGCTGAACCTCAAAGCTCCCCGTCTCCCTTTCGCTTTGCCAGCTGCTCCCCGATCTCCAGGGAGATCACCAGCCCAGGCTGATGATGAGTACGATGAACCACGCTGAGCTCCTCCAACACTCCATCTCTTCCTTCTGAACCACAGTATGTCAACACCTCGCGAACACAGACCTTTGCTAGGTCATTTCGCCCTCTTACGGTGCGATCAGAGAGAATTCAACACATAGCACAGACATACAGACATTAAAGAGGAGAGCTTTTTCGTGAGACGTGGAGAAGGCCCGGGACGGGCACCCGCTTTGCACCTGCAGCAAACACCGCTGCTCCCTCAGAACTGCTACTGAGGCACTGGAAAGGTTGGATGGGCAGGACAGGAGTGCACAGAGGTGGGGACTGTAACTGGGAGGAGGTAAAACCAGTAAGGTGGAGCATACTGGTGCATGTCCCCAGCCCACGGAAGAAAGGGCAGCTTTGCTGCAGATCCCAGACTGGCTTGTGGGGTGGTCTGAGTGGGTTCAGCCCGTTGCCAGCCAGACCAGCCGGGGCGTCCACCGCTCGGCGGGAAGGGAGTTTCCATCACCCCGATGGGACCTGCAGGCAGGGCAGGGCAAGGCTGACCCACCCAACACCCTCCGACGAGGTGGAGGTGGCAGCGACCTCGGTGTGCCACCGTCCCCTCCGCGAGAGCCCCGCGGGGCAGGCGGGGCGAGCGCAGGATACGGTCAGGTCGTAGCGCAGGGCCAGCAGCTCCCCTCCCTGGTCCTGCAGCTCGTAGATGAGCTTCGCGTCCTCCCCGTACTTCCCCATCAGTGTCTCCTGGGGAGAGGCAAGGGGGCTGGCGGGGCGGCGAAGGACCGGGGCAGCTCTGGGGCGCAGGGTGCCCAGGGATGGGGGACAGAGCATGGAGCCCGGCCCCCCCGAGGGGGTCCCACAGCCCCACAAGTCGAGCGGAGAGTACAGGGAGGGGAACGGGACGCATCCCCCCACCGGCCCCCTTTGACCTGGAGGCAGAAGTGAGGTCCATGGCCCCGTCCCCCCCAACAAGGGGCTGTCACGGCTGTC